CTTTACTCTTATACATATATATAAATATTATTAACTTATAATATTATAAAGTATAAGGGTTGAATTTTAACTTTTAAAATTCTAAGGGCTAACTTGGAATTAAAGTATTCATAAGTGAAAAGATTCAAATTCCAAAACTTGAGGGCAAGTTTTGAAACTATTCAAAACTAATTAATTCCATAATTATGAGTTTAAAGTAGTTTTAATTAAAAAAAAAAAAAAAAAAAAAAAAAAAAAAAAAAAAAAACTCTTCAAGTTCTATATCTGAGGACAAGTTATGGAAGACTTTAAACTAATTAATAAAAAAACATAACTTTTTTTTTATTGTAACTTATGGAACTAATTAAGGTTACACTTTTTTTTTAATTTAATGAAGAGACTCTCTGAACCTCCATAACTTGAGGACAAGTTATGGAGTCATAAAACCATTTAATTAGAACTAGACTCTTCATTTTGTAACCTTTGCCAACTTTTATGAGTTTTATGATTCTTAAATGTGACTTTTCATATAACTTGAGGACAAGTTACAAAAACACACTTTGGAATCAACTCTTAGATTAAAATGGATTGAAAACAACTATTTCACACAACTTTTCTATTAATCTAAGAACCTCATAAGAACAAGATAATTCAAATCATCAATCTTCAAGAAATTAGCATGAACATACAAACTAATTAAAAACCTTGAAATTATGACAATTATCTTAGAAATTGGATTAGCATGAACATTACCACATCAAAAACAAGTTTATAAGTCCAAAAACATCTTAGGGTAATGTTCCTAGTCCAATTCCAGCCAAAACAATCAAATATATGCATCCAACTCGTCAGTTACTTTTGCAAGTATAACAAGAAAACAAGCCTAGGCTCTGATACTACTGTTGGGTTATGAGCATTCTAACACTCCTAAGTGTACATGCAACCCTAATACCTGGATCTATGTTTTCTCTATATACATACAATATGAACATCAAGGTATTATCCTAATCCATACAAAATAATTATCACAGATTAGAATACATAACAGATCGAATACATACCTCTTGATGTAGAATGTCTTCATGAAGCTTGAGTGCCTAGTGCCCCAAGTGTGACACCTCAAATGGTTCACACAACACCAAATACACTTGGAATAACTTGAGAGAAACTGAAACACTCCTTAAAATCTCTAGCCCTCACACTCACACATTAGTTCCCGATTCTTGAGCCATGGGATTCTTTTATATTGTGGCTATTAGGGTTTACAACCATGTAACTCATAACTTTACCCATTCCTTATGCTCCATGGATTTTAACCTCCATGGAGTATCCATGGGTCACCCCATGGACTTAGTCCAACATAAGGAATCTTGGATCACAAGCCCACATATATAAGAATGAATGATTTACACAATCAACCCATATATTTAATTAGTCTCCTTTTGATCACTTAATTAATTCCAAATTATTCTGATCAATACTAATTAAATAACCTTATTAATATATTAGAACTTATAATATATTAACCAACCTTAAGTGTTATTTCTCTCATTATAGTCTATCCAAATGCATGATGCCATGCAACCCAAATGGACCATGCCGGGTTGGGTCAAGTCTTACCAATTATAGTTATGGACTTAGACATTAATCCAACACCAATATCATCCTCTTGCTTGTGTGGTGTTTGTAAGCCATTAGAGGAGTGACATCTGTGACTCTAAGCTCCAAGACAAGAAGATTCAAGCCATTGTTTAAGAGGTAATCATCTAGATCTGTTTTCATATGTTAATTTCGAAATATGTATGCTAGATCTAGGGTTCTTAAGTCTTGGATGAATTGCATGTACAATAGAGAAACCTAGATCCAAGCTTTAGGGTTTGCATGAGCACATAGGATGTTCTTTTGGCTAAAACCCATCAGTGGTATCAGAGACTTGATTGGTTTCTATTGTATTGATGCTTTGTGTTTACATTCTTGCTTTAAAATCGATTTTTTGGCTCCCTGATTGACAGACTCGGCGAGTCCCAAAGTGGGCTCGACGAGTAGGATGAACTCGACGAGTCCATAAGGGGACTCGGCGAGTCGGGACGTCAGACAGAGGGATTCTCGGGATTTCTTGTTGTTTTGCTGAAGGATAATTACCAAAACTGTTTTTGACTAATAAAATCCGAATTTTATTATTATTATGGGATTTTCCTTAACAAAACAAAAGATAATTACCATTTAATTGAATAATAAATTCCTTATGTGATAAAATTTGATTATTTGATTTATTTGATGAATTATCTTGTGATTAAAATATAATAGATCAAATTTAGATAATCATTTAATTAAATGTTTAATTAAAATTATTTGCTATTTGATCCTATGTGTTTTGAAAAGTTCAAAACTTGTCCTCAAGTTTTGAAATTTAAATTTTTGAATAAAAGGTTAATTTGAACTATTTAAATTTCAGACCCTAGGATTTTACAAGTTCAAAATTGAACCTTATACTTTATAATATTATAAGATTATATATATATATATATATATATATATATATATATATATATATTAACATATATATATATATACACTAGCCGTTTACCCGCGCTAAGCGCCGGGCGGCAAAGAGTTTCTTTCGGAAGATAGTTTTAATGTGATGATTAGTTTCCTTTATGTAACACCCAAAATTTTCAAGCCAATTTTAAACTTTTCAAAACACTTGAAACCATTTAAACATTACATAGTTTGTTTTCAAAATACTAATTATCAGAGTATCCCAGTATCAAATCATAAAAATCATAACAGCAGGAGGAGCGGTACGATCATGCCTTCGCCTTCACGCGATCACCAGAGGTACCTAAAACAACAACTGAAACTGTAAGCCCGAGAGCTTAGTGAGTTATCCCCTAAAATACCAATCTTATAACCATATCATATAATCAAATAGGCAAACAACATGCATAATGAGCCTTCAGCCTGACTGGACCGCCTCGCAGGCCTTCAGTCTATCTGGACCGCTCTCCGAGCCTTCGGCACGTTTGGACCGCCTCGCAGGGCCTACAGCCTATCCGGACAGCTCGTCGGGCCTTCGGTCTGACTAGCATCCCCTCCTGGGTCTGTAGTACATCTGGACCGCCCTGGGTATGTTGGCCTTCAGCACAAAGCAGGACCGCCTCAACCCAACCCCCAAATCAAACAACATGTGCATATACAATCATATGTTATCATAATAATAGTCAAACCGATCTAACAGATCCAAATAGCATAGCAACATCCTATAACCAAGACATCGACCGAACCAGGTCACTAAGCATAAGCATATCACCACCCTAACTAACAGGATGCAAAACAATAAACATATCATGTAATAATCCTGATACAAACCCATAAAGGGTCGGCCTTGGTGCCTTAGACCCTGTTGATATAGTGAGGATAACTCACCTCTCAAGTGTCGTCTAAAACTAGAAAGCTCAACTCCCGGATCACCAACACGAACTCCACCACCTATAGTTACCATACAACCCTTTTCATAAATTCCAAATACCAGAATACCCTCAGAAGTCAACTGGTCAACCCTTGGTCAAAGTCAAAGTCCACAGTCAAAGTCAACAGTCCATGTTGACTCGACTCGTCGAGTGCAGTTCACCGACTCGTCGAGTCCTTCCTGAACTCGAGAAGTCGTGAAATCCTTGGTTGGCTCGTCGAGTTCCCCTTTAACTCGCCGAGTTCATATGTGTCCAAAGATTGGGAAAAATCCTAACCGACTCGCCGAGTCAGTCGAATGACTCGCCAAGCCCAAGGCAATCTTCATCGGACTCGCCGAGTTGTTCATCAACTCGACAAGTTCATGACCATCTTCATATGACTCGCCGAGTTGACTATGCAACTCGCCGAGTCCTTGCAGACCTTCATCCATGCAGACACTTTTTAAGCCATGCCAAGGTTCCAGATTACAGATCCAAGCTTCTAAGGCATGTTTATCACGTAAAGTTGCAAACTTTACACGCATGCAAGGCCCTAAAGGCTCTAAATGACCAATATAAGCTTCTAATAGAGCTTTACACCTTAGGAGAGTCTCATCCTTGCAAGAGCTGGAAACTTTATGGACTTAGGACTCAAAAGAGGTTCAGATCTGAAGTTTCAGCTTCAGATCTAGCTCCCATACCAAAATCCCTTCATGAATAACTAAAGAAAGCCCTAGCCTCCACATATGAATGATTCTAGAAGAAAAGAGGTCAAGGTAACAGCTTATTACCTCCAAGGCGTGCCCAACTGAAGTAGACTCTGGATCCACACGAAATCCTTGATGCTAGCCTCTTGATCTACAAGTTTCCTTCACAAAAATCACTTCTCAAACCTCCAAAACACTCTCCAAGCTCACACTCACGGAAATTAGGGTTTCTGGCTCTCAAGGGGTGATAGAGGACAGTGGGAGGCGCTAATGGTCCAATATATAGGGTGTAAAAACTCTGAAACTTAGGGTTTCCACTACCAGCTCCTACTTGTCGAGTCCCCCATGCCGACTCGACGAGTCACTCATTAAATGACGTGTTCTGGCCCGCTGCTACTCGACGAGTCACAGCGTCAACTCGTCGAGTAGACCTTAAAACATGAAATCTAAATGGAATAATAATGATACCTGACGGTTGGGATGTTACACTTTAGACGTGAGCTATTCATTGCGGCCAGTTGGTAGACTATTTTGTGTCGAATAGTTCATTTCAACGCATAGTTTCTTGCTAGGTGCATAGTCATACAATACGACAAAAGTTGAGTCTACATTTGGAATTTCATCTAATAGTTCATACTTGATTTTACAATATATAAATAACAACAATCTGCAATCATGTAGTTTTGTACATTTATAACATGTCCAATATATAAACTACACCAATCTGCAATCATGTTGCTTCACCTGCTAGCCCTGCATTAAACATGAAATGAGCATCTAAGATACATATTTGAAGAAATTGTAAAATAATAAGTTGTTGATTGTACCTTGTTAATCACATAAAACTTATGTGTAGATTCCATCATTATGAAACGTTTTTTCCGGCTTTAGTAATACCTTGGCAGGGGCAAAACAGTCACATTTGTTGCAATATGTTTTTTGGGAACACATAATCACACAACAAACATAGTACTTTCGTTTGTAAAAAATGTTAAAAATGATATTTTTATAAAGTATAATGCTATTTTCTGTATATTTTCAAAAGTTTTATTGGTAAATTTCATTTTTCTATAAAAGGACCAAAATGCCCTTTATCCAAAATAAAGACGAAAAATAACCTTTTCTTTTCTTTTTAACCCACCTTTTGCACATTTCACATTTAATAACTTTTTTAATCAAATCGGGGCAAAACAGTCTTTAAAAATCTGTCAACAGTGATACAAACTTTCCCAAACAAAACATACTCACACTTTCAAAACATTGTACTTTTTGTTTGTAAAAAATGTTAAAAATCATATTTTTATAGAGTACAATGCTATTTTCTGGATATTTTCTAAATTTTTATTGTGTCAACATCATTTTTCTATGAAAGAATCTATAGTTATCGATATGCAGTAAATTAATAAACTTTTAAGATTTTCTTTTGACTTGGCCAATAAAAAATTAACAAATATCAGCAACATATATTCAAATTGCATATGAAGAAGTAAAAAAAGAAGGAAAAGACGAAAATACTTTGGTAGTGAGATTGAAACCTATATTTCCGAGTCTAAAGTTAATTGTTCCATTTCAAGTTCAGAGTTCCAAAATTAGGTCGTTGACCTTAACGTATGACAAGACTGGAATAGACAGGACTGGACTTGACAAACTTTCTAGGCTACTCTTGATGATGAGAATGATAAAGACATTCATGTCATTTTTCACAAAAGAGAGAAAGGGCATAATGGTCAGATGGTGTTTTTGGAACATATAAAGTAGGTAAGAGTTTTAGATACCTTCAACTGCTTCCTCTGCTACTTTTGAATGTTGTTTGACCAAGTCTTCCTTGATACTGATATTTAGAAGAGCTGCTGATAGTTTCTGGGATAAAGTCTTGACACCACCCTCAAGTTCTTCCTGTGGTATTTCAGACTTTGATGTGACTTCGGGTGACAAGGAACTTTGATTTGAATATATCTTTTGAAGATTCAAAAACAGAAAAGTATAAGATTTTAACCAACACTTGAAAAGGCAGAAATCAAGGAAGAAAAATATAACAAAACCAAGATATCATAATTGGTCTATTTCAACAAGATTTCTGAGGCATTAATTAATCTTGAATTGTCTAAGAACAGAGAATACACACATTATCTTATTTTTGTTGCAAAAATTAACACAATTTTGACTTTGAAAGTCAAACACGAACGTATTGCTTTCCAAATTCAAACTCGATTCGTAATTACAAACAATTTTACATTCTTACTCAAATTGTTCAAATCTTCATCTTTTCTCGTATTCCGATGTAGTTATCTTAATTTCTAGTAAATTTCATAGTAATTTCGGATTTATATGTGATGTGTTTGACTGTAAAAGTTTAACTATAACATGAAGAGGAATCTTATTCTGATGATAGCTCAAGGAAGAAAAGCTACTTAATAGAATTAAGACCATATTTACCAGCCAATAACTACAGACTACTATCAAATCATAGGATGCATTGTTTGGGCAAAATCAGCATCGAGCAAGGAAAACATAGATGAGAAGAGTATGATAGTCAAATACTTCCTTCTCCGTTTTGGTATTACTTTGACTAAAATCAAAATCTTATTCACGTAAAGAACAAAGGGAGTAGAGAAAGAGGGGAGAACCTTGACGGCAGGAGTGACGGCTTGGCCAACAAGACCAGGTTCCAAGTATGAACACCAAGCTGACTGATTTGGCCCCATTCACTTCCGTGCTCCTTCGAAGATCATGTGGCGTACCATCCGAGGTCAGGTGGCGACGGTGGAGACGCTGAGAACAGTGAAGATGCACAGACCTAAATTAGAAATTAAATGGAGAAGATGATGGTAAATTCCAAATATAGGTTAGAGGAATCTATTACCTGGATGAGAAAACGGAGAAGATGATGGCGATTTCCAGATCTGCTCAACATATGGTCAAGAAACAAAAAGACTCGTCAACACCGTTAAAGATACATAGCATTGCTACCACATGGTGGTGGCCAGCATCGATGAGTGGTGGCGGGGATGGACAGCAAGTTAGGGTAGAGAGAGGGAAGAGTAACGGATAAGAAAGAAATCAATTCAGAAATTACCCTGAAAGCACCAAATCAGTCATCAATTGTTAAACGTAAACCACTTTCAAGTAAATAGAGATGTAGAGAAAGAGAGAGAGATTCAAGAAACAGAAGGTGGTGATGGAAGTAACTCACTGTTCAAGATCGAGAGAGAGAGAGAGAGAGAGAGAGAGAGAAAGAGAAAGAGAGGCGAGAGAGATCACTGCATCTTTGGTGGGGGAAGTCGGCAGCTGTGGACCTTAGGTGGGAGACGTTGGTGGAGATCACTGCATCTTTGGTGGAGACGATGAGAATTGGTTTGATGGCGGATGTGTTTAGGAGATTAGGGTAAGATCCGTGTAGTGTGTAGTGTAATACGTATATGATCCGTGTAGTGTAATACGTATAAGATTGGTTATATGCTTAATATTATTGTACATGAGGTAATATATGTTGTACCTCTTAATTTTCAAGAAATGGGCAATATCCTTAATAATATAGTAAAGATATGTATAACTTAAATGCTAGTCTTACCATTAGTAGGCCTCATTCACGAAGCCGGTCTATAAGGGGGTATAAGGTTATGGCCTATAAAATGGTCATTTAATGGGTGTCCACTCTCACCCACCGCTTCCTTGATTGGTGGAGGGTCGTTAGCCAAACGGGTAGGATAGGGCAAACCTTTCCTCATTAAATGTATAATGAATTTATAAAGTAACTAAATGTTTTTACAAAATTCTCACTCTTAGTTACTTTAGGTAAAAGTGAATTGATGCAATTCCATGAAATTACACTTTGCACCATTGCTAAGACGTTAGTGGAGCGTGTGTGGCTAACCGGCACACTAATTGGGCTCTAAGCAAAGGTGGCAAAGGGTGACTCGATGTTTGTCATAGTTCGATGGAGCGTGTGTGGTTAACCGGCACGTCGAATAGGAGACTGTAACATTGGGGGCACCATGTACATTTGCATGGTTATTCACACCCGCTTTGTGATCCTCGGCATCCCAGTCACAAACTTGAGGGGCATATCGAGATTTAAACATGCCATTGAAAAGTTCAATGAATCTCAAAAGATCTAGGAGTTTTCAATACATTTAAAACTTAGCTTTAATTTGTTTTTTATGGTGGAAATTAGTGAATCGTCATTCACTTACCTTCAAATTATTTACTTGTTAGATTACGACATCCCTCTTCTAATTTATAACTAATGTTGTTGTATCCTAGCCCTAATTTCTCGTTTGGGTGTTTAATTGGGGATTCGTTTTCTAATCAAACTTTGTTATTTTTCCTTTTCAGATGTCGAACGTCAACAACAACGCTTCTGGCTCAACTTCCTCTGGCTCTTTCTCACTCATGAACTTGTAACATCCGGTTTACCAGGTATATTGTTTTGAGTATTTAAGTCAAAGACTTTGGAGGGACTCGACGAGTCGGTGCCTCAACTCGTCGAGTAGGGTCGCGACTTGGTGACGTGGTTAATGAATGGACTCAACGAGTCGGAGAGATGACTCGTCGAGTCAGCGCTGTTGACAGAAACCCTAATTCTCTCAGGCCTGGGCCTATTTAAAGACTCTTAAGGCGTCCTATTGCGGCTACCTTTCAGAAGAGAGAACCCTGAACGAGTCCTTAGTGTTTTGGGCAAGAGAGAGAGCCATTTTGAGCTTCTTGGTGGATGGTTTGCAAGGAAGAAGGCGGTTTCAAGCTAAAGGGGGCAGAGGAGGTTGTAGATCCGCGATTTACAACCTAGGAGCATCAGTTGGAGGTATCAATTCAGACCCCTTTTCTTCCCTAATTATGTATATCTTCCTTTTGAGGATTAGGGCTTGTATTATCTTCTTGGTGGGGTTTTGATTGCATCAAACCCCTCTTGTGAGCTGGTAGCATAGATATGGACCTTGTAAGGTCCAGAAAGTCAGAAAGTAGAAAGCCATTGTTGTGCAACCATGGGGTTTGGAGGTTAGGAAGCTTTAATGGAGTCTAAATTGCATATTGAGCGAAATATGCCATGCATTTACATCAAGATCGGACCTTTACGTGACTTTTGGGTGTTAGAAGGCCAGATCTATAAGTTAGAGAAACATATCTGACCTCAGAAGGTCAAATGAGTGTTGCCATGGAGGAAACTCGCCAAGTCCATGAGAGGACTCGACGAGTCGGATCGTGTTGCCCCGCGATTCGTGATCGGTGGAAACCCGTCGAGTGAGAGGTTAACTCGACGAGTCGATTGGGGCTTAGGAGGAGTCTGAGGACACGCATGGACTCGCCGAGTCACCTGAGTGCACTCGGCGAGTCTGGTCAAAGTTAGACCGTTGACTGGAGTTGATTTCAGTTGACCTTAGGGTTTGGTCAAACTGATTCAAGAGAGGCTATGGAGGGGTAGAATGGTCTTCTACCCATTCTTTAGAGATGAGGATACAAAGAGAGTATTGATTAGAGATATTATCATTTTGATAGGCGGAGGCTAGATCGGGGATATCGAGCATGAGAGTTTACTAGACATCATCGAGGTGAGTCTTCTCACTATACTTCACCTTGAGTGGTAGTTATGTGTGACCGGAAGGTCTTATGTGCTTACATTGAGTATTGTGTTATTATGCCTTATGTTGTGCATTATTTCTTTATGATTTATGCTATGCGGAGTGTTACAGACTGGACTGAAGGGTCCGACGATTTATGAGGTCGGAATGCTCAACCAGACCGGACCGGAGGGTCCAATGAGTTAGACCGGACCGGAGGGTCCAACGAGCTATGACCGGACCAGAGGGTCCAACGAGCAATGGGACCGGAAGGTCCCACTGAGACACATTGACCAGAAGGTCTCGCAGAGTTTCAGCCTCGAGTGGCTAGTTGTTGTGCGTGGTATTTTGGGGAACTCACTAAGCTTTGTGCTTACCGTGTTTTGTGTTATGTGTTTCAGGTTTTCTCAGGATCGCGGGATGGCACCGGCTTGATTGTACACACCAGAGAAAGAGTTATGTTTTGAGGATCCTGGATCATTAATGGAGTTGTGCTTTGTAATTTGAATAAACGAGTTTTCTATACAATATGTTATGAAAAGTATGCGATTTTAAAATGAAAAATCTGTTTGAAAAATTACGGTGTTACAAGTTGGTATCAGAGCCTTGGTTTGAGGGATTCGGATGCACCTTCGGGTAGATCTGGACTCAAACTGAGGATTTGAGAAAAAATTTCAAGGAAATGATTTTTCTAAAACGAGCAAGAGTTTCTAAAAGAATAAGAGTTGGAGCAGTGTGTACAATCAGCCAGAGCCCGAACGGTGATTTCTCAAAATACCCTTACGTTTGTATTATTAGATATTTATGAGATATGCTATGAGATATTATGCATGTTAGAGATAGGCCAGGTATTTCATATGTTAGGACTAGAGTGGCCTGATTTGTGATGCCTTAGCCTAGGAGTTACTGTTATCTGTGATGTGCTTTCGAGTATGTGCTGAGTAAGAGTATCCAGCAGGAATCCTCTAGAGAGGGATTTGGGTAGAGGAGTAATCTAGGAGAGATACCTAGATGAGCATTTGAGGAGTCTACTGAGAGAGTAGTCAGATGCCCGCGTGGGGTAAAGTTGCTTGAGTTCGGTGGTATCCTTTGAGTATGAAGAGAGCAAGTGGGTAATATCCTAGAGTGGTTTTATATGTTGGTAGAGATTATTCGATGCCCGAATGCTGCTTGCTTCATGCTTTGTGGAACTCTTGATGATGAGAGTCAGCTACTAAGTGAATATGACGATATTCAGGAGGTAGATGGCTGGAATCATAAGGAGTTCTTCAGCAGCTGATGGCGGAGAAGTGTGAGAACCTAGGAAGAGCCTAGGAAAGGGTGACCCTAGTCAGATGAGTACGCTGACAGAGTAGGATATTTCGCAGAGGAGCGAACACGCATGACGGGGTTGGTGATTGAGAAGGTCGAGCAGCTACTTAGGAACTCGAGGATGGTCCGTGTGGAAAGTATGGGTAGATGTGGCAGGTAGTATGGGCCCGTACTACTGAAAGCAGAGGACCCATACTCGATACAGGGAACATTCCAAAGGTTTTAAGTAGCAGATCGAGAGGTGATTTCATGGTTCGTGTACCATGATTTGGAGCAGATCGAGAGGTGATTTCATGGTTCGAGTACCATGATTTGCAGCAGATCGAGAGGTGATTTCATGGTTCGAGTACCATGATTTGTAGCAGATCGAGAGGTGATTTCATGGTTCGAGTACCATGATTCATAGCAGATTGAGAAGAGATAACATGGTTCGGGTACCATGATTCATAGCAGATCGAGAGGTGGCCACATGTTTCGAGTACCATGACCCGTGGCGGTTAGTGTTATTGGTTCTACCAGTATTCCGTGGTGATTGGTTAGACCGAGATCAGATGTGAAAGAGTATGGGGCCAGAGCGCCATGATGAACGAGTTTTAGTGGAGCATCCCTTAAAAGGGAAATCGAGTTAGCTCTGAGGGATTGTTGGTGAGATGCCAGTTGGAGTCGCAAGACTCAGGGATGAGTAGAGATGGCGGTTATGGAGGATTACGGCATGAGTTGAGCAATTAGTCGATGGTGGAGATGTCATTTTCTATGACCTGAGCAGTGCTATTTCTGTTCCTGTGGGAAACAAGAGAGGTATTGAGATTTTTGGTTTCCAAAGTTGCGGGTGAGCCCTGTGGGGTAGTTTTGGTTACGATCTTTCATCAGAGTATTTGGGCAGTATGTCTCCCGAGAGGTAATGTTAGAGCATGAGCAGGTTGTCAGCAGGGACTGAGATGGTTAAGGACAAGGATACACCCTATTTAAGCATCGTAGGGCATGTATTAGCTGCTGCGGCAGACGATCAGGAAGAGGATATTGGGGCGGTGGCTCTTATTATCTATGATGAGTATCGAGTATGGTAACGAGGACTCCACTCCTATTACAACCCACATGATGGAACGTTGGT